GGGGGCGGGGCCGCGCCGGGGCGGGGCGGCGGGGCGGCGGGGCTGCGGGACAGCTAGCGGCCGAATCCAAGGCCCAGCCCGGGAAGGCCGAGCGTATTGACCACTCGGAATCTGCTCAGCCGGCTGTGCTCACCCCAGACCCCAAATTCAGGTTTGTAGGGTTGGCCTGCGTTACAGAAAGGGAAAATGAGACCCAAGGAGAGAGATCACCTGCCGCCCCAAGTCACACAGTCCTCCTGTTCACTCATTCATCTTTTATTCATTCGACAAACATTTTCGCAGCACAGAGGATATGCGTTAGGAATGGCGTAGAGGCAAACTTGGCCCTCCCGCGCAGAACCAGAGATATCTCGGCGTCACTTTAACTCATGATAGAGTCAGGAGCTGGGACGCCTGGGCGGCTCAGTCGGTTAAGTGTCTGCCTTTCGCTCAGGTCATGTTCCCAGGATCCTGGGATCGAGTCCGGCACTGGGCTCCTTGCTTAGCAGGGAGCCTGCTTCTCCCTCTCCCTCTGCTGCTCCCCCTGCTTGTGCTCTCTTTCTCTCTGACAAATACGTAAATGAAATCTTTGGGGGGAAAAAAAGAGCCAGGAGTAAAGCTGTTGTCCTTTCCCACCTCAAAGCCTTTGTGGTTTTGCTATTTTGCATCTGAAAGGCCCTCCTTTCCTCTCCTCTCACCCCATGTATTCAAGTGTGGGTCATCTTGAAAACCTCTGTCCTCATTGTATTTTATCTTTCAGCATCATCTGACATGCATTCTGGGTTTCTCTCTACCTCCCGAGCTGCTCCTCAAGTCTCCAGGATCCATCCCCCTGCTCTGCTCAACCCCTACATCTTGGGGTGCTAGGGGAGCCCTTGGCTGGGGCCCGATGCCCTTCTATCCACCATGGACTCTCTTAACCAGGAAATCTCATGCTCTTCCAGGTTCCATACTGTGGTGATCGCCAGGTCTCTATCTCCAACCTTGCCTGACCCCCTCCCAGATCCCCAGCTGGATGCCCACGAGGCATCTCTAACTTCTCATGGCCAACACAAGTGCTTTATTCAACAGCCCCCAACCGGTTCCTCTGCATTCTTCTTGTTCTCAGTAAATGGCTTCCATCCACACAGTTGCTCAGGCTAAAATCTGAAATCCGTCCTTGAGTGCTTTATGTCCCTTGCTCCCTGATGCAATCCCACTCTGCGTTCCCACCTCCTTCACAGCACCAACTGGAGTTTCCTGTCTGAGTGGTTCCCCCCACCATCCTCAGTGAAGTGTGACCTCTCCAGGACGAGGCAGGACTCTGACTCACTTCTTTGCACAGAACAGAGCCTCGTGCCCTTAAGGTATTCAGGGGATGGTGAGAGAATACATGGATAAATGGATAAGGTCCCATTTCCTTGCACATGCAGATACACACACACACCCCACTGAAAGCCTGACTTCCAAACTTCCAAACAAATTCCTCCATGAATATAAGAAGCTTCCCTCTTCCTCTCCAGCCAGGCCCCCACTGTGGTTTGGGGATGTCTTCAGAGAATAGGAAGATACCCTCCCAGGGAGTAAAGTAGTTACTACAAAGGAGGGTCACTCCAGGCTGCAGACCTTTGCACATACTGCCCTCTGCCTGACACACTTTCTCCCTGTTCCATCCAACTCCTACTGACACTTCCAGCTTCTCCCTAAATGTCACTTTCCCCAGGAAGGCTTTGTAGCCACCCCGACATCAAGCACAACTGTGACAGACACACCATCAAAAAGCTAGGCCCCCTATCATGCAGGCCCACAGATATAAATTCGACATCAACCTGAATGAGCTTGGGAGTGGATTCTTCCCGAGCAAAGCCTCCAAGTGAGGATGCAGCCCGGCTAACAGGTTGAGTGAAGCCTGAGCAGAGGACCCAGCTAAAATGTAACCCAGAAACTGTTAAGACATGTGTGCATTGTGTTAAGCTGCTACATTTGTGGTTATTTCTTCTGAAACAATAAAAAACTAATACCAGGACCCCTCCCCAATACAGACATTCACAACACCCTGTACGTCTTTCTGGCATTCATCTCAATTACACGTGTTTGTTTAAAGCCTCTGTCTTGCCACTAGAGCTGAAAGCCCCATGAGAATAGGAATGGGATGTGTCTTGCTCACCCTGTGCTCCAAATGCCCAGCACAGTTCTGTTCCAGGGGAGTCGGCTGGAGAAAGACCAATCAGTCTGCTTGTTGGCTGGCCCTCCCGTCCTTTCCAGCCCCTTCTCCCTGGCCACATCCCATTCTATAAACCTGAATAGTGTCTTGTCTTCCCGGCCTCCCTCAAGCCTGCCTGCGGTGGCCATGTGACTTCGTCCTGGCCAGCGAGACGTAGTGGAAGTTGGCTGAAAGGTTTCTAATAGTGGTGCCCTCGAGCCAATTTGGACCAGACCTTGAGAACTGATTGTGTAAGAATTTTGCAAAGTCACTTCTGAAGCACAGTCATTACTCAAAAATCAAATGATATAAACTTACAATTAAAAGTTATATTAAAAACAAAGATAAATGCTCAAAATTCATTACTTCCTAGTTATTTTACTACAGTGTACAATTACCTCTGCTATCGAGGATTTTACATCCTAATGTAACTGTATGATAGAAATGCCAGATAATGTGCTCCTGGCATCTCTTCCCATAACCACAGCCAGCAACGTCCTGTTGGTAGCTTGAAATTCGATGTGGTAGGAGAATTCATAGCACAGAAATTGGTAATGACTCTAGATCAGGACTTTCTTCCTTGCTCCCATCCCCCAGAAAGCCACGAATTGAAGATTTACCAGCATACCCTTAATTTCCAGGGAAGGTTTTCCTCTTCGGGAAAAGGAATCAGCACAGCTGATGCTGCCTTTTCTCGGCGGCAGAGATCATTACCTTTGGATGCGCATGTGATATCTGGATCCATAGCAGCCACTTTACAACCAGAAGCAAAGTCAGAATCAGAGAGATTCTGGCCCATGCTCCCTTGAGTCACTGAATCAAGACAAGGAATCACCTACCTCCAGATTCCATATTAGGTAGGAAAAAACAAATCCCTAGTTGTGTAAGCCAGTGTTAGTCAATTTTTCTGTTACTTACAGAATTCCTAAGTGACACATAGAGACATTCAACGAATGTCTGTCACATGGAGTAACTCAGCCTGACTCTCTTTCTTCATCCGTGGCCATCCTGTTTGGGCCCCACGTTCACTGACAAAGCCACCAGCCAGTGAACCAGTCCAGGCAGGTTTCACAGCTCTGACTAGTAGAAAGGTTTTTTCCGATATGAACATGAATGTTGGGACCTCTTGGCACCTCAGGAAATGAGCCCAGTCCCTGTTCGCCCCCTAAGTCCTCCTGATGTAAAGAGAGCATTCATTCAGTAGGAAAATAAATCAGAGTTTATTGACCCCAAAGTTAGACCAACACTCTTTGTGGAAATTCCTGACCTGGTTTGATACTGTGAAGGGCTCCTCGGTGGGGCTCGTGACCTGAGACCTCTTCCCAGATTCTTTTAATAACATGTCTCTCAAGGAAAAACATAATTACAAACTATCATATGCCAAGGTAAGCTGCATTTCCATGGCACTTTTGACTCAGTCTTCCTAGATTCTGGGGCCGAGAGGGAGCAAAGACCGTCCATGGCAGCTGGGCCCAGTTTAGGATGGGATGTCAGTTGAGCAGAGCAGTGAAAGCCAACAGGCGGCTGCACCAGCCATCTGTGGTCACGCAACAGGTCACCCCCAAGCCCAGCAGCTTAAAACGACAGACATTTATCATGTCACGGTTTGTGTGGGGCAGCCATCTGGCACGGCTTGCCCGGGTACCTCTGCCTCCAGGTCGCCCACAAGGCTGCCATCCAACTGTTGGCTGGGGCCATGGTCTCACGGGAAGGCTTGGCCGGGGACGTTCTGTCTCCAAGCTCAATCATACGGCTGTTCGCGGGCCCCCCTCAGCTGCTCACTATGTCAACCCCACACAGGGCAACTTATGTGGCAGCTGACTTTTCTCAGAGCAAGGAAGGTGGAAGCCACAAATGTTTTGTACCCAATATCACAGCTGCTGAAAACCAATGATTTAAAAAAAAATTCCTAAAAGCAGCCATAGAGGGGCGCCTGGGTGTCTCAGTCGGTGAAGCGTCTGCCTTCGGCTCAGGTCATGATCCCAGGGTCCTGGGATCGAGTCCTGCATCAGGCTCCCTGCTCAGCGGGGAGTCTGCTTCTCTCTCTCCCCCTGCTCCTTCTCTGTCTCTCTTGCTCACTCTCTCTCTCTCTCAAATAAATAAAATCTTTTTAAGAAAATTTAAAAAATGATTTAAAAAAAAGCAGCTCTATAAAACAAACATCATATTCTGGTGAATAACAATAAGAATTAGAGATGACTTCTTACCAGAAATAAATGAAGTCAAAAGACAACGAAACAGTCTTATAATGTTGAAAGAAAAAGGAAAAAACAAAACACCTGTCGATTCATCTCCTCCAAAACCTACCAGCACTTATGTGCACTGGCCGTGGTCCCCACCCACCGTCGGCCTCCTCCGCCCCACGCAGCTTGGTCCCACCCGACCGCATCTCACCTCACCCTCTGCTCTGTTACTGACCCTCTCTCCTCTCGCCTGCCTCAGCTCGACCACACCCACCTGGCTCCCCTCTCTGTCCTGCTGCCCTCCTTGGTTGCCTCTGTCCTCCCCTCTTCCTCTGCCGGATGCAGGAAGGCCAAGTGTTCAAAAAGCCAGTGTTCCCCTGGGTGCGCTCCAC